TTTCTTTCTTTCTTTCTTTCTTTCTTTCTTTCTTTCTTTCTTTCTTTCTTTCTTTCTTTCTTTCTTTCTTTCTTTCTTTCTTTCTTTCTTTCTTTCTTTCTTTCTTTCTTTCTTTCTTTCTTTCTTTCTTTCTTTCTTTCTTTCTTTCTTTCTTTCTTTTTTTCTTCCCTTCTTTCTTTCTTTCTTTCTTTTTCGAACTTTTATGAAACAGCATTAACCACACAGACAGAGAATTCTTACCTACGGATGTCCACCCCCATCCTGAAAATATCAATGGCGAACCCAGTGGAGGGTTTTCGGCAGAATCAGCTAGACAAATGGGCTGAACATAAGTGTTGAACATAATTCCACGACCATTACTTCCTGCTTTAATCTTGACCAGTGCAATGTCAAAATCGTACTGCTTTGCTGCCAATCATCCGAAGTTATTAACACAGTAATTATCTTCAAAAATACAAACAGCGAAAAAACAACGTGTGAAAAAAACACAACTATACCTGAAATGGGTCTCTGCAAGGCCACTAACAACACAAGAAGAGACAGGGTTACGAATACCAGCATTAGACAGAAAGTCGAAATAAGAACATGTCTGTATTATACCTACAGGCAAAGAATGGAATGGTTCAGCCATCTAGTAAGAATGGAACCAGACCATTTTGTGAATTTTTATAGCAGGAAATCTAAGAGGAAGGCATTAGGAAAACCAGGAAAGAGATGGATAAATGGTGTAGCAGAAACGTGTAAGAAGATGTTCAGATCCATCATCCATGCCACCTAAGAAGCGCAAGGCAAATACAGAAAACAACGACACTGGGATACAATCTGGTAACAGTGAGACGGCAAGAAAAGAAAATACAAGCAACAAAGAATAGAGAGTGCGAGTCGTAGTAATTGCAGATTTTTACCCTACTAGGACATCACAGAAGCGATAAACACCCGATGACACAGAGTGCCACCATGTGGATGACGATCACCGTCGAGAGGTCCCAGAAACAGTGTTCAGCAATTAGACCATATTTATGGTCGGGCTATATTGCAGCTCCTGAAAAGTGCCAGATTAGGACTTCAGATGACGAAAAATTGCATCTCACAAGAAGATGACGAGAATAATGGGTAGAGAGTGCGAAACTACATAGTAAGGCATTTGTGTTGAGCATCGCTAAATTACGGGTGTCACGAAAGGTTAATATATTGAATAATTGAGGCTTTTAGAGAAAATACTAGTTAACAGTGAGACAACAACAGAGTAGACAACGAAATCACTGAAAAAGGACCACAAGATATACCAATAAAATGGTGGAGAGGTAGTATAAGACAGACCTTCAAACAAGAGCTGGATCTGATTTATGACAAGCTAGATGTTGTAATGGCCCTTTGGGAGCGAGTGAACAGTACCTAGGCACAAATAGATCATTACGGTCTGAGGAGTAGGGCGCTGCGGGAAGTTACCATAGGGGTGTGACCGACGCTCAAAACTAAAACAAAAGGCGAGGCAGATGTACAGTCAGAGAGTTACTGGTATCATTGGAAATTGAACTCTTCGCTTGCTGCTGAAGATGGGGACGAAGCGCTTATGGAAGTGTCCTGAGTGCTATGATGTGGATTTCTAATTCAACATTCAACATCAGCTGGAAAAAAAAAAGGCCAATGGAATAGGCAACTTGAAGCTCAAGGCCTCAGATAGTTAAAGAGGAGGGTACATACCAATCAGAGATGGTATCAAATGCAGTTGTTTGTCAATTTTCACAAACTTATCCGGTGTTATAATATGACGCGTTTTTAATTAGTTGACAGGAAAGCCCGTGCGCCTAAACACTGTCGATGATTCATATGCAAAAGAACTGTCAACTGATTGGTTAAACCGTAAGGATTCTATGTAATTTGAACAATTTCAGTCATTACACTCATTTTAACTGTCAAAATTTTGTTTCTTTCAGTAGCTGTTTCTTTAAATAAATTTTTATATGTGTGTAGTAGTCAAGAGAAATTGGATGCGTCAGTATGCGATTACATATCACAGATAAAAAATCAAAAGGCGCCTACAAAATTCTAATAATCGACTTGCAACGCCAAAATAGAATACAAATCATTATCTGTATGCGAGCAATTAAAATGTTAAACCAAAAAATACTAATTAAATATATTTTTTGGTCCCGCGTGGTTTCGAGGCATGGTGTCCGCCCCGAGTGCTAGAGGTTCCGGGTTAAATCCCTGGTAAGGGCTGGGATTTTGTCACGTGAACTTGGACTTCTAGTAGTTCCCCCCCCCCCCCCACGAGTAATCCGTAAGTGCTCCATTCTTCTTCTATGTCAACTCTGAGTCTAAAAAACTCAGCACATTGAAAAGGCTATGTAGCACCAGCGAGGATCGTAAAATACTTTGGTAGATTTTTAACTCCAAATTTTGCCCGGGCAGCGCCGTTAGGCTACTCTTTTCGATTTCCAACGGCCGAGGGACTATTTTTTTTCCCACTTGTGCAACAATGCACACCGGTGTCCGATCTCACTACCCAGAGACCAGGGGCAATTACTAGAAGTCCAAGTCCAAGTAAAAAAATCCGAGACCTTACCGGGGATTTAACCCGGAACCTCTAGCACTCGAGGCGAGCACCATACCTCAAGACAACGCAGCCCCCTATCCTAAAACCATTACCCTAATGAAGGGAAAGAACTTACAGCGATACTGTTCATGGTTGATGATAGTTTTCACTTCATAGATTTTTTCATTTGCGTCCTCATACCACATGCGGTGGTCACCTACTGCAACTGTGTACGTTTCGTAGTTATAGCCACTGAAATGCGCGAACATTCATTGAGGCTTCATTAGTGCGAAAGTAAATCTTATGTTATGTTATCAAGGTCGACGTCTCTACACATTGGGTATTCTCTGCGTGCTCAGTCTTCCGATGCAGAAGCCACTCAACGGTACTACTACTTTTCGTTCCCATACCTTTATTTTCGTCCCAGAGAATGTAGCGGTTGTTGGTAGTGAAAGAGCTGATAAGCTGGCAGGTGCTGATTTAATTTAAGATGACCGGTCCATGGATCATGCAGACATTGTCATTGCCCTTGAAGAGATAGGAGGTTCTGAGGATTTTAGAAGCTACGCCTCCACATCACTGCTAAGAATACGAGAATTGGGAGTCAAGATCGCACAGCCAAGCATGTGAAGTACACCGAACGCACAAGAAGTCGTGTAAACCCACATAGGACTTGCCCTATTAACCGCGCGACGCTGATAAATATGCTGAGAGGGGAATTTTAGCCCTAATGGATGTGTCCGGAGTGCTGTAAAGATTATCTAACTCATAACTCAAAACTATATGTTTCCATGAGAAGTTGGTTATGATGTCTCCTCTCTCGGCCTCAAAGGCGGCATAGACGTGCTTCACCATGTCTCATGTCATCGTGTTAGTGTCAGAGAATCCTGTGTGACTCAAACTTGTGCATATGATGTTAATCACACATTGTTATAAATCATTCGACACTCAGTGTGTTTGACTCATTCGCCTTTATTTCTCATGACATTTCCTGTTAAATAGTTTAGACTAAGCCAACTAAAGATCCCATACTACTTTTGTGAAAATATGCATCCAACCATGACGATTAGACAATGTAATTTTTCACTGGACAGGAATACTTAGAGAAGGTTACTAAAGAAGCTGTTCTCATATTGGCATGAATTATAATGAAGGTATTTTCTTTCTTTCTTTCTTTCTTTCTTTCTTTCTTTCTTTCTTTCTTTCTTTCTTTCTTTCTTTCTTTCTTTCTTTCTTTCTTTCTTTCTTTCTTTCTTTCTTTCTTTCTTTCTTTCTTTCTTTCTTTCTTTCTTTCTTTCTTTCTTTCTTTCTTTCTTTCTTTCTTTCTTTCTTTCTTTCTTTTCTTTCTTTCTTTCTTTCTTTCTTTCTTTCTTTCTTTCTTTCTTTCTTTCTTTCTTTCTTTCTTTCTTTCTTTCTTTCTTTCTTTCTTTCTTTCTTTCTTTCTTTCTTTCTTTCTTTCTTTTCTTTCTTTCTTTCTTTCTTTTCTTCTTTCTTTCTTTCTTTCTTTCTTTCTTTCTTTCTTTCTTTTTTCTTTCATTCTTTCTTTCTTCTTTTTCTTTCTTTCTTATTGTCTAGGCCACAGGCTCCTTCGGCATATTATACTATATTAACATTTGTATAGACCAGTGGTTCTCAAACTGTTTGTCGCGACCCTTTTTTTTGGGGGGGGGGGGGGGGGGGGGGGGGGTGGCAGTCGAACAACGATTTCCCAGGGGTCGCCTTAGACCATGAGAAAACATATATACATTGAAGTTTCAAAGGCAAATAATTTAGTATGGGTCGCTACAACATAAGGAAACTGTATTAAGGGGTCGCGGCATTAGAAAGGTTGAGAGCCACTGGTCTAGAGCACTGAGACCTCTGTGGGTGATTGTCACATCTAACCGCCGCCTTTTTTGTCAAATTTTGTATGTGTACGTATCATTAGTCACCAGTACGCATTTAGTTGGTGTGGGCAGAACAATTTCGTTCGCAGACAATATTCTTGTTTATCGATAGTTAACAATAGGGATGACATTACAACAACGCTACAGCATAAATTGGGAAGTCCCCGTGGCGGAGCAGCTAGGCGCTCGCCGCGGATCGGAAGGCATGGGTTCGCTTCCTGGAGGAGCCGGACTTTTTCAAAAATCACCTTGGCTGCCAGGTGGACCAAGCCTTGAGCAGGTACCGGATGCAGTCCCGCTGACCACATCACTTTTATTATTTGAAGTTATTTCACCGGCTGTAAACTGTAAACTGAGGTGGCGGGGGTAGAGTGGGGGTGGGGGTATTCTGGTTGTTCGTCCCCTTCTAGACTTTAATCTTATTTCAGAACTTGCGTTTTGCGTGCACATTCGTTTTACTGATCTGGCGTGTCTGTATACAGATGGTTCTTTTCTTCATCGCAGGACATTGCACTTCGACTTCAGTTTAAACACCCACATGTTAACTGTTAAAAAAGATCGTTTTTTGTACTTACTAAAAACAATGAGCAGCGCTGATTACCCAGAACTCACTTATAATGGCGCCTCCACACGTATGTTGATTATTATCCAGAACTGCGGCCATCCAGGGGAATTGCCCGTAAGTGGCGTAATTCCCTCCTAAAATTTTGTTCAGAAGTGAGGCCTCATTGGTTTGTTCATCTGTATCGTATTGATTGTCGTTGTTTCGGTTTGTTCCACGTTTAACGTTCGTCACAATGACTTGTCTGCGGCCACATACGGGTCTTACTGTACGTATATGCAAAATCTGTCTGATAAGGTTTTCTCATAGTTGGATAACATATTCACAAAATGCAATGAAATGAGTTAACATTTTACCGTTATATTACCTTTTAAAATATTCTTTTAGATTACTTTATAGACCAGCATTATCATTATTATTATTATTATTATAATTATTATTATTATTAATTATTTTCAAATTAAGCGCACCTAAGTTAAAGACTGACTTCTTCAAATTTGGCCCTCTTTGCTTTGCGCTGAAATGAATGAGGTTTGAGGTTTGAACAACAGATCCACATCATGGCACACGGGCAGTAACCCATAACTGCTACCTTCTTTTTCCTACTCAAGTCTGAGTCCGAAGAAGCTCAGCACAGTGCACAGGTTCTGTAGCACCGGCGAGGATCCTGAAATGATTTCGGTAGATTTGTAAGGCCAAATTTTGATCGGGCAGCACCGTTATGCTACTCTTTTCGATTTCCAAGTGCCAAGGTATTTTTTACGTGCGCAGCAAGGTACACGGGCGTCAGATCTCACTACCCAGAGACGAATGGGAATTACCAGAAGTCCAAGTCAAGGTGAAAAAAAATCCCAGCCCTTACCAGGGATTAAACCCGGAACCTCTAGCACTCGAGGCGAACACTATGCCTGGATACCATCCACCCCCCACCCCCAACAACAACAAAAAACGAACAATACAGATGGAAATGGCTAGGGGCTCTTTGCGCCACCGGAGTCTCAGAGGGAAGGCACGACAGGTACCATCAATATGGAAACTCTACACTGTCTGTTGAGGATGGAGAAGGGAACAAAAGTTGGCTTGCCCTGACAGCTGTGATGTCGAATGTTTACCTACGTGAACCCATATTGTTAAGGCGGGAGTATACACTGAAAGCTTTTATCATTTGCTGTTATTGCAGTGTGGATACTAGCGGGGTCTTTCATGACCGAGCAGTTCGGATTTGGGATCAAGAGTATCATTTTAATTTTGAACCTAATTACATATTAATACCTGCAACTACTTTCCCATGTATACATTTGTTCAGTCAACGTTGTTGATTGTATTTCATTATAGTTTGTTATGACGCTGAAAATCGTTTCTTTTGAATATAAATGCTACTTTGAATCCCACGGACTAGGCATGGGGAAAAAAAAAAAAAAGGGGGGGGGGGGGAAAGGAAACTTTGACTTTCTAAAAGATCTATACACCGAGGAAGTCTGGTTTGTAGAAACATCTTCTATAGTATGTCCTTTGATTTATAAAGCCCGTGTAGTTGACAAAGACAATGTCTTCTTACTTATTTCGTTTTGTATTATATCCTTGATATTTATACTTCTCCCTTAATTAGTACTTTTTTGGTTTAATATGGACCTTTTTTCTGTGCTGTCTTGCCTGTTGAGTTGTATAGTCACAGTTTGTGCTGTTTTTAGTACTGCATTGATAAAGCTCTTGGTCGAAACGTTCGTTTGTGTTAGTGTGCCACTTTTATATTTCCTCCGTTGGGCTTTCTAATCGCGTTTGGTGTTGTATTTAGCATTTATTGCAATCAGCTCGAATTCAGTCATCTCCTATTTACATCAACGTAAACTTGCCTGGTAAAACTACAAACAACAGGGGGGGGGGGGGGAATGTAAATTATATGCAGCTAACATCTAAACGACATAACATTATAAGTAGAGATTCTCTCAAAAAAGTTTTCACAACTAAGCTAAGTGAAATGTTCTGTTATACCTTTTGGAGATTGGGTCCATTTGTTTTTTTCTCATGAAGATTTACTTTTTGTGTGTGGTACTTTTCAGTTCTCATATAGATTTTTTTTTTTTCAATTCTTGTGTCGATTAACTTTCATTTTTCAGTTCTCATATAGATACAAAAAAATGTTGGTCAATTCACTCATACATTTTTTTTTCCACTTAGCAGATTGATCTCGTTTTTTTTTCTTTTCAAATATGACTGACAGACAGGATTTGAAAAATATTAGAAGTCCACCGATCTTGTTTTAAATGTCTTAGAAGGAAAGTCGTTGGTGGGCGGCAGTGAGAGAGGGGGTAGGAGGGGGGGGGGGTGTAGTGTCATGACGCCCACTTGACGATCTGACGGCCGTGGGATCAAATTTTTCCAATAGTCTGATCTTGTTTTTTACACAAGAGGTTGGTCCATTGTAGACCTGGCCTCACATTGGTACCAGTAGGTGGTCATATCTATCCACATATCTCAGCTTCTGAATATGTGATTATCTCTAAAGATGGCTCTGTGTTGAGGGGCAGGCGATGTGCACGAGAGTTCATAGCAGAAGCGAATGGATGTCACTTAGTGCAAACTAGTCTTGCATATGATATTTTAACGTCTAGTATGAGACTGGAGATAGAGGCAGTCACTGCTGCCTTCCGCTGGCTTGAGAATTACATGCAGTGATTGTAACTGACTCACAGAGCATGTTGAGAAAGGTGAAGACAGGCATGCTCCCTTTGGCATGGCAAGCATCACTTTAGAGGTACCGGGCAGTTAGCATCCTTTTAATATTGTCTCCAGGTTATGCAGTTGTGTTAATAAATGCGCAGGCAGGTCGATTCTGCCACATTTGGTAGTGAACTGATGTATGACAAGCTAGATGTTGTGACGGCCTTTTGGAAGCGGGTGAACAATGTTGGAGACACAGACAAATCATTACGGTCTGACCAGAATCTCCCTTCGTAGAGTTACCAGGCTATCTGACCGATGCTCACCACTCACGGGAAGGCGAGACGCATTTACAATCAGCCCGTTATTGGTGTCATCGGAATTGAAACTCTTCGCATGCTTCTGAAGATGGGGACTGAGCGCTTGTGGGAGTGTCCAGAGTGCTATGATGTCGATTTTTAATTCAACATTCTGCCTTCGGTATTCTGAACCAGTCCAAATTTATTTCTCTACGCCATCGCTTCAGAGAGTTAAGTATCACTACTCTTGGTCTGCCTCTGCCTCCTTTAGCTTTGATTGTTTAAGCCATCAGGGGATTCTCTAGCTCCTCTCCTCTCATAAAGAGAAATCATTGACTACATCTTGCTCATAGTTGCAACTAGTTTTCTATTGTATATGCCTCTATTTTAATTTTGACTCGTTGTGACGGGTCGGAAGGTCTTGGGGTCGTGCCCTGGCGGAGCCGGTCATTTTCTTTTAAAATGACTTTGACTGCCAGGTTCACCCAGTCTTTAATGGGTGCCAGGTGCAGTCAAGGAAAGTAAAGGTGGCTGGCGTGAGGCTGATCACATCACCCACCAAGTGCTGATTGGTCTATAAAAATATAGGTCTATTCGGCGAGAAAAAGAGACCTTTCCTTACATTTTATTTTTGTCATTAGCTTTCATTATCGGCCCTAGCTATTCGCATTAGACGGGCACTATTAGAATTCTGTGTACTGCTAATGTATTCTTCTCCTTCTTCTTCACTTAATCTGTTACCGCTATGGGTGTCGAGGGAGATATAAGGTTCTGTCCCTAGCTCTTCTGGCCGCCTTGACCATAGGCCCATCGTGCTGTTGTAGAGTTTCTCTGATGTTATCCTTCTATGTTGTTCTTGGTCTACCTCGTGCTCTACTTCCTTCTTCTCTTTATATGTATGCTTTGTATGGTATGGTGTCACAAGGCATTATCTCTAAGTAGGCAAACCTGCTGTATGCTAATGTACTCACTTTCGGTATAATTTGTGTCCATGGACGTTTCCATTCCATTCACATAGTTTAAAATGTTTTTAAAGAATTTAGGTTTTCCATTTTCCTGAAATATAAAATATTTAATTAAACATGTATACATATGATTTATGCCATGATATTATTATTACTAAGCTGAGTTGAGTCAAGAATTGACATCACAGTACATCCAGCAGCCAGCGCGAAGTTCTACTACTAGTGGTATCGGTTGTAATCAGGTTATATGTCCGTCTTGCTTTTCCTTTGAGTGTAGTTGGCATTATAATTAGTGAGCAATTAGGATGACATATTTTATAATTTGTATAATTATTCCTTTTTTCTTTCTGTCTCTCTTTCTACCGTCCTTTCTTCTTCTTCTTCTTCTTCTTCTTCTTCTTCTTCTTCTTCTTCTTCTTCTTCTTCTTCTTCTTCTTCTTCTTCTTCTTCTTCTTCTTCTTCTTCTTCTTCTTCTTCTTCTTCTTCTTCTTCTTCTTCTTTTTCTTCTTCTTCTTCTTTTCTTCTTCTTCTTCTTCTTCTTCTTCTTCTTCTTCTTCTTCTTCTTCTTCTTCTTCTTCTTCTTCTTCTTCTTCTTCTTCTTCTTCTTCTTCTTCTTCTTCTTCTTCTTCTTCTTTTTTCTTTTTCTTTTTTCTTTTTTTCCCTCTTCTACTTCTTCTTTTTCTTTGTCTTCTTCTTAAATTAGATGTCATCGCAGTGAAAGGGAAAAGAGGTGTGCTCTGATGATTAAACTAATTATAACCATAACTAATAATTTTACTATAGAATTTAATACATTTTTAATTACTACTGCTGTTATGTGTGGAAATGACAGCTACATCCAATGACAAATTCAACAAATGGAACACTAAACATTAGAGCTTACATCATAATACAATGTCATATGGTATCAACTTTGATGTAATCAAGTCTAGATTTTCACTTTCTAAACACCTTTTTTTTTAAATGTGTAAACTTTCATAACGTTATAAATTATGGTAGTTTGTGGAAGAGATGCGAATATAAAAAAAGAACAGCTTATAATTCATGGATAAAAACAATTAAAATACAAAGTTTCTAGAAGATGGGAAGACATTTTGAAATGAATGCCACATGAAAATGGCACTCTTTCAAAACCTATTCAAGGTGGGGAAATGAAAGAGGTATTACATCGATACAAGTGGAGAGACATTATGAAAATATAGACGAATAACTGTTTGAGAAAGTGTACAACCAGGACAGAGAGTGTTGGGAATTCACTGAAACCTGAATGAGATTATAGGGCTCTGCTGGCTTTTTCTATCTGTATTACCTCCTTTCAAGCCAAACAGCAAATGATTAATA